CTATTATTGGATAAAACTCTGTTAGCTGATGCTAGATAACACTGTTATTTAATGCTATTTAATGTTTGTAAGATAGTGTTCTGTTAGCTAATGCTACTATTGTTGAATAAAACTCTGTTAGCTATCGCTAGATATCACTGTTAGCTAATGCTATCTAATGAAAAACACAGTCAGTCCCGGTGGAAACGTGAGCGGTGGTGACATGCGGCTGCTCCCCACTGCAGCATGTCAGAAATGCTCTGTGGGGCTTCTGGAGCCGGCTGTCCACAGGCTGTCCACAACCTGGAATCAGGCCAAGCTGACACAAACCCATGAGCAAACACTTGATCCCAACTCAGAGAGTCAAACAGCCACCAGGACTCTGCTGGTGCAGACCAAAAAGTGGAGTAAAAGACCAGAAACAGGGACAAACTGACCACAAAATGTCAAAAGAGGACACGAAAATGAAAGATGAAAAAGCAAAAGACAAGAAAATGATCAGAAAATGGACAAAAAACTCCAAGAACGGACACAAAATGATGGAAATGTGGAAAAAAAGACCAGAAAAAGGGACTAAATTTTTAAAAAATGCCCAAAGAAAAGCACAAATTTGCATAAAACACAAGTAAAAGACAAGAAATTGACAAAATAACCTTTAAGAATGGACTTAAAATGACAAAAATGTGAAGCAAACGACTAGAAAAAGAGTTAAACTGACAAAAAAAAGTGGGAAATAAGAGTCAACACACAAGATGTGTCATGGAAAGGTCACCATTCCTGATTGGTCAGAGCCTCTGACATCACCTTTTTGAAGTTAAGAGTCACTGGAGTCAACAAAACTTCCAAAAAGTCCAGTAAAATACCAGAAAATGATCAGAAATGGTCTAAAAACTCCAAGAATTAGACACAAAATGACCAAATCTGGAGTAAAAGACCAGAAAAATGATTTACAAATATCCAAAGAAGACACAAAACTGCAGAAAAGTCCAGCAAAACAGCAGAAGATGATCAGAAATGGACTAAAAAACTCCAAGAATTAGAAAGAAATCACACAAATATGGAAATAAAGATCAGATAAAGGGACAAACTGATAAAAAAATGTCAAAAGAAGACACAAAACTGCAGAAACAATCCAGCAAAACACCATAAAATGACCAGAAATGGACTTAAAACTCCAACAATTAGACACAAAATGACCATAATGTGGAACAAAACACCAGAAAATGACCAGGAATGGACTTAAAACTCCAACAATTAGACACTACATGACCAAAATGTGGAGCAAAAGAGCTGAAAAAGGCACAAACTGATTGAAAAAATCCAGCAAAACACCAGAAGATTACCAGAAATGGACTAAAAACTCCAACAATTAGACACAAAATGGCCAAAATGTGGAACAAAACACCAGAAAAAGGGACAAACTGATAAAAAAATGTCAAAAGAAGACACAAAACTGCAGAAACAATCCAGGAAAACACCAGAAAATGACCAGAAATGGACTTAAAACTCCAGCAATTAGACACAAAATGACCAAAATGCGGAACAAAAGACCAGAAAAGGGGACTGAATGAGTGTTTTGAGCCCTGAAGGGACTCAGTGATGACAGGCTGGAGGTCTCTAATCACAGAACTGATCACAGAGCTGAAACCAGCAGGAGATTCCTCCTCTGCTCAAACTCTGACAGGAACAGAAACATCTGAGACCAAAAGGACTCCGAGTTCTGCTGGGTTCATCCAGAACCAGCTCTGGTTCCCCTGAATGAGCTCTAAATGAGCTCTGTTCAGCAGACAGAAGCAGAAACAGGAGTTCAGGAGCTGGAACAGACTCAATAAGGAGCACAAACTCAAATATTTGGTGAACTTTATTAACTTTTTACTTTATAAGCATTAGAAAATGACCT